AAAAAAAAAAAATTTTTCAAAATTTTGGGGGAAAAAAACCCGGAAAAAAAAAAAAAAAAAAAAAAAAAAAAAACTGAATACTTTTATTATGAACTGTGCGTCTTAATCATACCTCTGGGTAAAAATGCAAGTCAGGTAGATTGAAACAAAGTAAGAAAAACCACAAACCCTGAATCTTTTATCTTTGAAGTCTCTCTCCCGCTCCCTCTCCTTCTCTGGACGAGCTTCTCTCTCAAAGGCTCGAGCAGCGATGATGCGCCCACTGCCAATTCTGCGAGCGCCTCCGAGGCGGAGTGTCTCGTTTTCCTTATTTTCCAGTGGGCTTATTGGGCGCCGGGTGTTTGATGCAGATACAACGTTGCCTTGACAACCACTGCCAAAGCTTCGTCGCTGTGGGCTCAGTACAACGTCCAGGTCGTCCTCCTTTAACCGCTCACGGGGATCTAAATGAATGGGGCAAAAAAAAAAAAAAAGAAAGAAAACACTCAGTTAATCTAGATTTAAATAAAAATACAATATCCACATTGAAGTACAAGTGGTTAAAAACTTTAACCCTTTTAAAGGCCAAACAGATTTTCATCATTATAAACCAGATTGACTAAACTGATTGTTTTATACAAAAATATGAATTGAAAACCAAATTAAATATTAAATAGCTAGTTTTAAAAATCTGTGCATGTTTAAAACCAAAGATAGATAAGACCCAAGACTTTAGAAACTCTAATAATACACCAACTAGTCAAATCAGGCATTTATTTACCTGGGATTCTGCGTTTCAAATGAACTCTGTCATCCATGTAGTCCTTCTTAAAGCCTTCGATTGGGGAGTTTCTCTCTGAGGTCGGGTACAGGGAGGCGTGCCATTTCTCTGGGTCCCAGACGCCGTCACTGGATCAACAAACAGAACATTAAAAGGCGACGGACTGAAAGCCAACGTTAGCAAAAATATTGGAAAACCCATTTACATGACGTCTGCATGTAAATGTAGATAGTTTAGGTTCAATACAAATTCAGCACAAAGAAAACAAACAAAAAACAAGGCAATAAAGACATGTTAAATATGATCAAAATTTAATTCAAAGTCAAACCAGAAATGCATGATTACGCAGAACTTTGACATTACTGTTAAACATTTTAGATGAGTAAAATGTTACTTTGTGAAACAAAGAAGAGTAAAATTAGTGACTTTCTGTTTGCTGGTCAATTTTAAAAGATCTGTCAAGTGGACTAAAAAAGGATAGGCCATGACTTGTGAATTCATACAAGTAGAGTTGTTCTCAAATGCTGTCTGAATTATTCAGGAGAAAGATCAAACAGCATTAAGATGCACATCTCAGAAATAATGTGTATATATATTTTTTTAATTTTATAAAATTAAAAAGGAAAAAAAATGCAGCCTGGCATCAAGAACAACTAAAAGGAAATTGTCAAAAAAGAAATCTGGCTTCTGAAGAAAAACAGGAGTTTCATAGAAGAGCCTATGCTTGATTTAAAAGGAGCCATCACATGTACACTTTTGACTTGATAACACTTCACCGTAATCATTTAAAAGTAATCTTAAAAAAAAAAACCTCAACAAATTGCATGTGTTGCACAGTTACAGCCATATCTTAAATCCAAATGTTATTTTTAAGCCACCCACATTTATATCATTGAATTAATATTTTCAAAAAGGCAGTAAAAACACTGCAGTGTAACTAATGTTTTACAATTCAAGTAGCAATTTTTTCCCCTTGTGAAGCCACAATTTAAAACAAAAAGTGTCCTAGTTGGACAGCAATGACCTGTTTGAGAAAGCCTGTGTGGTTTGAAAAAAAAAAAAAAGGAACTGAACACCATGCTAAGCTGAGAGTTATGTGGCCAGCTGATACGCAGATTTGAAACATCACAAACCAAAAGTTTTCTAAATGCAACTGAGCATTTACTTATCGTTTCTTTTACAGGGAGATTTATTCTCCCCATTACTTTCTGAAGGCAATAAGAAACTTGCTCCAGGGCAGGCTGAAGAACAAGCCTATTCAAAGCATGGTACATGTCTGTGCAGCTTTGTTTCCTGGCCTTGAGAAACATTTATGAGTCAAGGACAATCATCCATGAGACATGAATAATAAAGCAGTTTGAAACTAAATGTTTGGATCATTGCTGATGAACCCAAAACAAAAGTATTCTACAAGGCCACAAACCAAGTAGTCCAGATAAACGCCAAGCTGGATGTAATCACAGTCCTTGTCAAGAATAAGTGTTTAAGACTTGGAATGAGATTACTGAAATTAAGGTTTGCAGGCCAAAAAAAACAAAAAACGTTTGGCTGGATTTCTGTAAGGGCACAATTGAATGTTCATACCTGTCGTATTTTTCAGAGAGACATTCAGGCCGCTCGTTGGAAATCGGCAGTTCCTTTATATCCAGAAGTTCCTCCTGAAAAAGAAGAGCAGTTGAGTTTTAAAGCAGATCTCTGCATGATGCCGTCTTCGGACCGGCAGCAGTTCCATAGCGTCACCTTGGTATATCTGAACGGAGCGGTGGCTCCTTGCTTTCGGTTGGGCTGGTCCACAGCCGTCTCATCATTCTTCTGCTGCTCACTGGCATCTTTCTCCATGATGGAAGACAGACGGAATCAAATTGCTCCAAGCCCAAGAAGGTTCTGCTGGAAGACAGTTGCCAACATCAATAAAGTCCTGCTACAATTAACAGGTATGCTGCCTCCAGTGAGTCAACAGGAGCAATTTTAGTTTCAACTGCTGGATTTTGGATGCTTGATCAACTGGCACATTAACAAAAGCAGGATATTCTTAATGCACAATTTAATCAGGTCACATTTTCTATTCCGATTAAAACTATTGGAAGTTTTAATCTTTTAAGAGACGGCCAAATGTGTAAAGTCCCTCCTAAAACAAACATCAATTTCAAAAATAATACAGTATTTATTTTTTGGCCATACCTAAACAAAGATTGCTCCACAATCTAGAAGAGGACACTACATTTGAGCCTCAAAAACTATTTTATTTAACAGTTTGGCAAACTGTTAAAGTTAAAACATTAAAAACTATAAAAAGATTCAGAATGACATGGCAGGCTTTGAACAGGGATTCCAGTTTTAAGGACTCCTCCAAGCTCTCCACTACCATTTTTAAAGCTAAAAATAAAAATTTGCTTCACAAACACACTTGACCTTTTGGTTGAGAAAATTATTACCGAAATTTATTAATTAAAATTATTACCGAAAACATCTGAAGGTTTTTGTACTGAATATTCCTTTTTGATCGCAATTTCACAAGTTTGAGGGTAAACTGAGGGACAAATTATCCAGCCTCCCACATGCAAAAGAAATGAAAGTTCAATCTGTAGAATGTATGAAGGTTAATGACTTTTTTGGGGGGGACTATCACTAATTCAACTGCAAGTTATGGTACACTCTGAAGCAGTATGCAAAAAAAAAAAAAAAAAAAAACTCAGTATTTATTGTGCCGGTATAAAGTGTTCATCTTTCACATAGACCACTATAGCAGATAAAATCAATATTTTAATTTGGTTTTATTCCTGATGTCTTGGCATGGTGATCTCTTTCAAGGACAGGAAGAAACTAATGGAAACGGTCAATAAATCTGACTTTTGAATCTTGGCTTAACTCGCACAGCTGAAAATGAGCCCCATCTTAAGTGCTTACCATCATTTCCTTCACTGGGAATTTCAGCCTCTTTCCTCTAGACCACAAGTCAGTAACTTTGCCATCTATGCACAGCCAACTTTGTACTCTTCCTGAATTAAATTTGCCAGAAGCCGCAAAGCCTTTATTCAGTACTTGTGACCAGCCGCTATTAAAAAACCCCCCCCCCCCCCCCAAGACAAAAAAGGATTGCAACCAGTATATTGCAGTTATTTGAATTCATATTAGTTTTGGTGTTCCGTAGTTTGTAGGTATTTAACTATCACAACAATTATAGAAACCACAGAATGCATTTCCCCTCAAGTTCACTCAACATTTTGGTCTTCTGAGGCCAACAGAAAAGCCTGCAGAGCCACCAGCAAGTCTAGCAGCACAGACTTGCTGGTGCCACATCTGTATAAAGTAGGGAATAATGGACATAGTGCTTTTGTTTGAGTCACTGTGTCTCAATTTAACCTAGGCAATTTTTTTGTCCCTATATTATAAACTTCATGCAACATTTATTTCTCCATGTTTGATACAATTAACTGTTATTTTAGAGATCCACTAATTATATCCATATTTATTTAAAAATCCAGCAATTTATTTTCTAGTCAACAGACATAATCCTGGAACAATTTGAAATATTTACTACAATTTTGAACTAAGTATTTAAAAAGTCACTTCGGAGAAAAACACTTAAACACTTTAAACGAATTATTTAGATTCATCTACCGTCAGCGAAACGTCCTTGGCGACCACTTTTGTTGTTGATGATTGCTAATTAATGAGTAAATTGACAACAGCCAACGCCGAGTGCCAGCGCAATCACCAGAAAAGGGGAAGAAAAGAAAAAAAGCAGCTGGGGATAATTACCAACCTGTAGGGTCTGGACATTCCAAGAAACTGTGAGAAATATCAGTGATTAAGCAAAAATAAACCGCATCTAAACAAAACCCTCTAAATGACAGTAACCAGGAATTAGCACTCAATTAGGTTGGCCAAGTTTAACTGGCGTTACACATATAGTTTGTTTAATGCAGATGGGAGTAGAAGAAAATACACAAGCAGATAAATATTTATAAAATGTCTAGGCAAGAAAAAAAAGAGAAAAACTAAAATAAAACACTTACTGGGTTTAAATGATGCGTGGATCGCTGGCTGCTCACGTTAGTTAGCTGGCTAACCAACTAGCCGGGGATAAAACCCACCCAGCGAGGACCAAATCAAGCCGGTCGGGCTACTCTGGTGGTTTTAGTCAACACACACTTCTGCAGGGGATGATTTAAAGAAATAACACCGGTTTAAATAAGAAAAGAATTCACACAGAAACTGTGCAGTCTCTAATTATTGTCTGTCTCTTTCTCTGTTTTCGAAGTCGTAGCAGCAATTTTCCTACAATCACCGCTTTAAGAAGGTCCTGGGAGAGATTACATGTTGTCCGTCGCGCCTGTATAGAATTCGAGGTAGTACTGTTTTAGCCTGCTTCAACTAAATCATATTGCATATTTTTACCTGAAATATAACAATAAATATTTCAATTGAGTATGGTTTAAAGAAAATTGAGTCAATAATGATGTAGCTTACAGTAATTCTAAACCACACTACAGGCAATATGTTGGACGTCTAAAGAGTTCGCTTGATTTCTTTGCCTTTGGGATCTAGTTCGTAAACATCAAGCTTTGGTTAAATTTCTACTGAATTATCCTACAAAAATTACAAATAAATTAAGACATAGATTGTGATTTGTGGAATCAGTTTTTCTATCGCTAAATTTTAAAAAGACGTAATTTGAAAGCGTCTATTGTCTTCTTGATCACCTTAACTCCTGTTTATTTTGAATTCTAATTAATTCATTCAGATCAGATCACTCAAAAAGAAGAAATATAGAAAAATACTTTCTTTTTCTTACCTAAAATCCAATTCAAAATCACTACCATGACAATGAAACATTACACGTGCTATGAAGTTCTTGGATTTGGTCCCTTAAAATTGCAAAGTAATATTTTAACATTTTATAAATTTACAGTCGATGCATAAGTACTATGAAAGAGTATTTCCAATTTAAAAACAGAATTATATAGACATAAAAAGCAGGAATGCTGTAGTTAAAAAAAGAATGGATAGATAAATGCTAAAATATTATTAAAGACTCTACACTAAAAAGAACTTGAACTTAAAAAAAAATAATAATGATGTTGTGGGGGGTCAACGTCGAACTACCACTAACGACAGGATTGCAAACCCCGCCTTCTCGGACTGTTATGTTGAAAAATTCAGCTCCTCCTTGATGCCGAAGACCCTCTCGTTTTCTTCCTAATTTTCCCCTGAATTAAACAAATATGCTACACTTAATAACAATTTGAGGTCAAGGTTTCCTCAGTTCTCTGTTATGATTAGCTCTAACAGACTGATTAACTCTTCTAAAACGTCAGCTGCTTCCAAAGCGAAGCATCGGCGTTACCGTTGACAACTGGTTCCAGTGGGTCAGCATCATTTACTCGCCGGGGCAGTGTGGCGGACCAATCCTGCCACAATGATACAAAAATATCAAAAATAAATTCAGGAATTAATTCAAATACTTAAATAAATAAATATTACCTGAACTTAGCTTTATTATTCTAAGTCTGAAACCTTTAAGCTATTTATCTTTTTCAGCTTCCTGAACAACTTAAAGTGGACATTTTATTTTTTTTTTAATACTTCAAATGCTGAAGAAACTTTACAATATCTGTGCTGTTTTATGATGCCTCACATTAATCCGAGAATATTCCAGCAATAGTGGATTTGATGATACTATATATCTGAAAAATAATGTGAAATGTCTGAAACTCTGCGCACTAAGGCCATCTGCTCTTGCGGTAAATAAAAAAGGAGCAGACCCACTGATTCCGGGCATGTCACGTGACCAGGAAAAACAAATGCGCGGCAGTTGGTCTAAATGAATCTTTTCAAGGATGGAGTAAATAAGGATGTCTGTATTACAAGTCTGAGTTAAAATAATGCAAGGCGAATCCGTCCAAAACTCAGACCGGGTAAGACTGCGACCCTTCAGATCTGAGGGTGAACCTAGACAGCTGCGCAAAGTTCAGACCAGGAAGGTTTCTTACAGAGTGGGATACAACTGGAACAAGGGAGGGAGACTCAAGGAGCTCAGGATAAGGTGCCCAGACAATGTGTTGACCATATTTTATATTAGTAATAATACTAGCATATAATTTGAACTCTAACCCCTCAAACCATCTCCTAGACACTTGGCGAGAAAATTCCTGAAGATATGGATGCACAACACCTTTGGTCGAGTTCTACCCCTGCAAGCCAGGTAACATTGAACACATATTGTAGCTACAGTTCAGAATTAATTGAAAACCAAATGAGCACTGCTATAATTATTTCCAGTTTGTGATAGCCTCCTTGCTACTTTTAAAGTCCTGCATGAGTCTGAGGAGTTTTAAATGATGCAAAATATGGTTTGTTACAGGTCCCACTACAGTAGAGGCCTCCTGAGACGAGCCTTTGAAACATGGAGGGACGACTGGTGGACATCCAGGAGGGAATGGAGTCTTCTAATGAGAGCAGAGTGCCACTACAGGTCAGTCTCGAGGCATTTTGATGGACTGTTTGTTCTTTTTTTCTGTAGTAGCTGCCTGTCTATATCAGCATCCGGTCATTCGCGTAAAACTCATTGAGAAGTTGAAAAGTTTTCTTCTGCCCTCTGTGTTTAAAAAAGACAGACCAGGAGAAATGAGACAAATATACAGTGTTGTGAAAAGTGTTTCTTCTTTTACAGATTTTATGCAGCTTTTCTGGCTTAATACATAAATAATCTGAACCTTTCAAGTGTGACAAAAAAGGAAAGCCAGAATAGCCAGTGACCATGCGATGTGCTATTTACTTTGCAGCAGTACCTAAAAAGCAAGCATGCATGTGGCGACAGTGGAGAGAAAAAAAACCTCCCCTTTAACAGGAGGAAACCTTCAGCAGAACCTGACTTGTGTCCATCTGCGTTGGGGGCTTGAGAAGACAGAGTAGATGTACAAAAATGAAACAGAAGAACTGATGTCGGAGTCATTTCTTTGTTAATGAAAAGCAAAAAGTTAGCAACAGAAGAAAACATTTGATTTTTGGCAGCATTATCTCAGCTGATGTCCTCCTCTGGGAAGGTGCAACAGCCAAACAGAATGCCAGTACGGGTGTAACTTTGTATTTTGACTGGATGTTGCTTACATTTCATAATGATAGAAGTCGATTCAATAGGCTGGTTGTCGACGAAGCAACTGCGAACTGCACGGCCCAAGGAGATGTTGGAGATGTCTGTGTGAACATGCTTGATATCCTTGATACAGTCAAGATTATGTGCTGCTAATGATCTTTGTGTCTTTAGGTATTATCTGTTAAACCTGGCATTTTATGGGTGGAGGAATTTTACATCTCTGCAGAAACAGAAAAAGACTAAATTACAGTATGCACAATCATTAGGTATGATTTAATCTAAATAATAAGCAGGAATTATTTTCTGATCAAAGATGTGGTTTTAAGCACTCTGCTTCTGTAAACAGCTAATAGGCGACTGGTCCGATTGGCTTTGGACAGATGGAAGGTTTTCATTGAGATCAGGAGAGGACATTGGAGGATGCTTGAATCCTTCCTTGAGCGGAAAAGGCTTTCGGATTTGCAGTAAGTTTCTTTTTTGTTTTTTTTGTTTAGCATTTACTGGTACCGTGTCAAACTGGAATGCTTTCCATGTGTGTGACATTAACACTGCAGAGTTTTGCAGCTCAGTGTGGAATTTGTGGCAGACGAGGCTGCAGAAGCAGCAGCACCATATGATGTTAGAGGATCAAGCACAAAAGCAAAGGGCACTGAGCTTACAGAGCAAGGTAGACACACGGTCCGCTGAGCTACAGTCTTTGACTTTTTTAGATTAATCGTGAATTTATTCCAACCGTGTATTTTTTTTCTTGCGAAAAGGCTTGGAGTCTCTGGAAAGAGACACATAGATCTGCTTCTTACCAGAAAGAAGAAGAATCCAAAGCAGCTCTCTATTTCACTGTCCGCCTTAAGACAAGAGCATTTTGTCGGTGGATGAGTTTCACCTCCCATCAGAAGACCAAGAAAGACACACAAGGTTCTCATGTTTTCCTTTCCTTCAACTATCATCTGCTCCACTGAAGGCAAAGGACCTGGTTTCAGGTTGCAGGGTTACTCTGTGTGTTTTTCTTGTAGCCGTGGCTCAGCGCGCCTGTCGTCTCCGCCTGGTCAGGAGGTATTGGAGGGAATGGAGAAAAGCTCTGAGTCACAAACAGAATGAAGAGAGGCGCTTGCGAGTTGCAAACCGCTTGGCTGTTCAGAGCACTCGACGCAGAGTGCTGGTGCACTGGAAAGCCTGTATCCTGAACTGTTAGACAAAACTAACAAAGATTCACAAACACTTGCATTACAGACATTCATAAACACGGAATAGTTCATAAATGTGAACAAATGTCAATACGTATGTGCAAATAAAAACCAATTGCTTCCAGAAGTCTCCAAATTAGTAGATACAATCCATCTGTGTGTAATTTAATCTCAGTATAAATGCAGTTGTTCCATTAAAGTATCAGAGGTTCATTACAGAACATTAGTGAACAAACGGCATCAGGGAGATCAAGGAGCACAACAGGCAGGTCAGGGAGAAAGTCGTACAGGAGTTTAATGGAGAGTTAGGCTACAAAAAAATAAATAAATAAAAAAAAACTCATTTCAAACAGAGAGTGCGAGGGATTGAGATATCCCACATCTCAAAACTTAACCCGGCGTTGCTGGGTGGTGATAGATACAGCGTCATTCTGGAGGAAAATCTGTTAGAGGCTGCAAAAGGCTTGAGGCTGGCGCGGAGGTTGACCTTCAAGCAGGACAACAACCCTAAACATAGAGACAGAGCTACCTGGCTGTATGTAGCCAGGTATGCATGCTCTGATCTGATTTAGATCAGAGCATATCCATGTATTAAACTGACCTCGTGAAAGTCCAGACGTTGATCCAAATGAGAATCTATGGAAAGAAAGTTTATGTTCACAGATGATACTTTATAGAACAGCTTACATTTCAGCATCTAGATGTGCTCATCTGGAAGAGGCATAACCCAACAGACTTGTAATCACAGTGAAATCACGTTGTTGCCTCAGGGAGGCTGAATACAAATGCACACCACACTTTTCAGTTTATTATTTGTAAACGGTGTTGAAAACCATGCCTCATTGTCTGTACAATTCCCAGTTATGTACTCATTTGTGTCTGTCTGGTTGTTTGTGGATCTATCAGGAGAAGGTTGGGGGTGTGTGGTGTATGGTAGACTTACTGAAAGAATGCATCCCGTTCTGATAGTCCTCTGTTCAACTGTTTGGCTCTTGAGCTGTGATGTAGATGTTCAGCTGTGCAGAGAAGAAGCG